CCCCCCCCCCCGCCCCCCAAGAGTGGCGACGGACCCCTCTCTCCACTTGGCTGTCCTTCCTTCCCACGGAGGGGACGGGACGACACAGAAAGGAAGCCGCGAGCCGGCAGGGAGGGCTGGCCCGTCTCCTCCCAGGGAGTCGCCCTCCCCTTTGTGTGGTGATCCTTGTCAAGACAGAGCGCGCAGAACGCGGCACTTCTGAAGCTTCCGAAGCTGTCAGTGCAGCAGGAGGAAACTGAACTGGCCGGGGGCCGTCAGCCCCCGCGCCCCGCACCTTACCGTGGTACAACAGGATGCGGGGGGGCTCCTCTTCGTCCTCCTCCTCCTCCAGAACGGAACGGACGGGCGCACGCTCCACGGACTCTCCCGAAGTCGGACGGGCTGCCAATGGCATCAGGTTACTTACTTTCATCTCTACCGTTCCAGGAACTCATCCCCAGAAACCGTGTCGTGATACGAGACCGTAAACGCAAAAATGAAAGGTCCCGCGTCACGCACGCTCTCACCTTGCCGGATTCAAACAGGACTCACTTTGACTAACGTACATTCCAAAGAAAGACAAACGAGAGGGAAAGGGGGTGGGGGAGAGGCGGAGAGACCGAGGGAGGGGAGAGGGCTCTCGGTCTCCGAGCACGGCCGGCACACAAAGCAGCGAGCTCCGGCAAGGCGAACGAACAGGGGCCGGGAGAACGCAGGGTCACGGGGAGAGGGGTGCGGCGCACCTCCCCGCGGCCCCCGTAGGCACTGGGACACGGCCTCGCCGAGTTTAAACTCACAGCAGCAACCCGAGTGTGCAGCCAGGGGATCTCGAGGTACCGAACCACGCAGAAATCAGCGGGATACCGCCACGGAAAGACCAGAAGGAGCCACGGTGCGTGACTGCGCGCGCGCACACACACACAGAAGTGTGTCTCCACAGGAATTCTTAAAAAGTCAGGAGCCCGGGGGCGCCTGGGTGGCTCAGTGGATTAAGTGTCCGACTTTGGCTCAGGTCACGATCTCACAGTTCGTGGGTTCAAGGCCCACGTCAGGCTCTCTGCTGACAGCACAGACCCTGCTTTGGATTCTGTGTCTCCCTCTGTACTGCCCCTTCCCTGCTTTCTCTCTCTCTCAAAAATAAATAAGCGTTAAAAAAAAAAAAAGGTTGAAAGCGTTCTGAGTTAATCACTTCTGAGGTTCTCGCCCGTTCAACGGGACCGGCTCCTGTAGGTTTGAGCATCAGAGAGCGTGCGGGGTGCGGCCACAGCGTCCCTCAAGCACCAGGCCCGGCCTCCAGTGACCCGTCCCCTCTCCGGCTCAAAACGAAACCAAAAACACAGGGATTTGGGAGGCGCTGGGCTAGTTACAACCCGGTGGGAAAGACCACCTAAACAGGAACCAGGAAACATCTGCCCTGCGTTCTGATCTGCTCTCCTTAAGCTCTAGTTAGAAATACACCAGGAGCCGGAGCCGGCCCCGCACGGACTGCGGGAGAACCCCAATCCGCCCTCTGCCAGCACAAGGCGACTCTCGGCCACAGACCTTTAGCTTCCTCCACGAGGACTCGAAGATCTCCCGTCTCCTCCGTGGACGCCCGGGGGGCAGGCAGGTGGAGTCTGGCAGCGCCGGGCAGAGCCCTGCATTTCCCGGGCCCCTGCCTGGGGGACGCCACTGCCCCCGGCTCCAGCCGCGCCGCGGGTGGCCTCTGGCCACTATCGGGGCGAGGCCGCTTGGCAGGGAGGCCTTGGGCATCCGGGCAGGCTGGGGGCCCTGGGGCTGGGGGCCCGGTGGGGCCAGGCAAAGGTAAGCTGGCGTCTCGTCCTTTGGCCTGGAGACCCTCCTCCTTCACTGTGGGAGGTGAGCCGGGGGCTGGCAGGCGGCTTTCTTCATCGTCTCCCTCCGAGACGGAAGGTGCGCTCTGACCCACGGCGGGCTCCGGAGCTACACTTCTTCCCCTTTTACGAGGGGTTGTCCGACTTGCACAGCACGTTCTCGACCCATGACCATCCTGAGAACCACCTCCGGCTGGTGGGACTACCAAGGCTTGCGGGCTTGCGCTTTTCCTGAGCTCCTTCTTGTGGTCCACCTTGCACCTGGGGTCCTTTTGACAAGTGGGGGAACCTGACAGCCTCGGGTGGACACGTTCCCTCCTCTCGGGTCCAGATGTGCCCGGGACAGCCTCCTGGACGCAGGAAGAGGCAGGGTCACAGAGCAAGGAGGCCAGTTCCATGGGCTTCTCTCGTGAACACAGAGCGGTTCTTTCTTCTCTAGAAGGGCTTTCTCGAGGCAGACCTGTGCTCTCGTTCAAAACGTCCAGGGCCACTCGAAGCGAGCGTCTGTAGGCCAGCTCCTCTAGGGGTTCAGCAGGAACCTCATTCTGGGAGGCTGCAAGAACGGGAAGCAGACAAAGCCTGGTGACGCCCAGGCCACCAAGCCACCGGTCACCCAAGGTCCTCCAAGGTCCTCGGTGGCTTTCACACCTGAAGGGAGGTCTGCCCCTCCTCAGCCACATCTTCCCCAAAGGGGGACAAGGCCACAAAACAACAGCTATTGTTTG